CTTTCAAAAATGAAGTGGTCCTTTATTGGATCATAAGCCGTGGTAATTTGGCTTGTTATTTAAGCAAATAAACAAACAAAAAAAAAAAACACCGGAGAAGAAGACCGTTTCCTGGTAACACAGTCAAATGTATGCTCACTGATCACCAGCTAAGTACATGAGCTAACAGGTCCATCTGTATTCACAACACTTCCATAACACAGGCCAGAAAACGCTTCAGGAGAGAGGTACACACTGAATACACACTGAAATAATAGAACATTTGATCAAATATTTCCTGTTTGTTTTACTTCTTTAACAAAGCGTTTTTTATCTATAAATTGCTAAAACGTTGAGCTAAATGTAGCGTTAACTAATACTACACAAACAGTCGGTGTTTGTTCATACAGTGAAATAAAAGAAATGTTTCACTATATTAACAACTGATTACAACTGATACTACTGAGTAGTAGAGAGAAACGGTGTTCAACAGGGGGCACGCAACCCGCTACGTTTTTGTGGCGCTAACTGCGGCGTGTTGTGAAATTTTTGGTTTATAGGATCTTTAAAAAAAAAAGAAAATGTACACCTGTTTAAAATACAAATAAAATACAAATGAATATATGAACCTGTGTAATACTTCGTATCAAAGTAACGAGGACTGTTGATAGATTAAGAGATTAAGGTCCAGTTTGATTCGACTGTTTAAAGTCCATCCCCATCCGTCTGTTGAGGAGTAAGAGATTCTCACACACCGGTGTTCTGGAAGATTCCAGCGACAGCCAGTTCCTCCTAAATGACTCTATCTCACAACTTGACAAAAAATTGCTTCAGTCCAATTATGGTTGGACCAATGGGCTCACGCAGGCTTTCTGGAGTGCATGAAATGGGCTCTTCAAACCAGCGTTAGAGGTAATTCTCCACACACCGATTTGATGCCAGGAGCCAACAGGGTTTTTGTTGCACCGCACATTAATTTAAAAAACTGAGCGCTGAGGAACACGGCTGCTGTTGAAAGCACGACGCCACGGGCCATTCTCCGAGTTTCCTGACTCTGATGGGTTGAACACCCTGAAATAAGTTATTTAGTCATTAACTGGGTTATTTTCTGTTTTGTTGCTGATCTCTCTTGACACGATGAAATCTGACAACAACAAGACAAAAAGGTCGCTATGAAGAGGAAGTATTGTAAGAAAAATAAAAGTGTTGAAGGATTAATCACAGGGTAGCTGTCGAATAATCGTGGTTAATCAAGAATAATCGCGATAGTAATTAATCATGATTAATTAAGATGAAGCTGACATTCCTAAATACGACAAAGATTATTCTGTATATTTCTGTAAAGACACACATCAGCAGGTAGATGTCAGTGTTTCTCACCCTGTTTTTAGATTAATCCAAATGATGGGATCGTTAACATGGAAAATGTCAATTAAAAAATAAACAAAAGTCTAAGTGAAAACCTAGAGTTGGTGGACACTAGTGTTTACTGCACCTCCCAAACGTCAGCGTCTCCTCACACCGGCTCTTTTTAAACATTTTCTATTCCGCCCCACCTTCCTCATTTATCTTCTTCTGTCTCCCCCACTTTCTTCTCTGTGTCACTCACCTCCCCCCTCCTCCCCTACAGCCTCCTTCTTGAATCATAAAGCGTCTCTAAAAAGATTTAGATGAGACCTACGCACCACAAAGAGACGTTTCTGTGGCCAAGCAGAAAAACAGAATATGAGATTTTTTTTTTTTCAAGTCAAATATTAAGGTTGACTTTTTTTTGTCAACTCCGGCAAAACTTTTTTTTTTAACTTTCCCTTATGGGAACGTCACAGACTGAAACTCATCAGTAGCAGTCAGTCTCTCTCTCCACCACTGCAGCATCACACCTGCTGGTTGATGTCAGGAAAAACATCTATGACAGTCACATTAGGATAAAACGCCTCACCGATGTGTTTAAATCAAATCGATTTAACTAAACTACATTACGGCACGACAACAACAACAACAGCAAAATGATCTCCTGCAGTAGAAAAAAAAACCTATTCATCATCACACTGAAAGACGTCATGTGAGTGTAGAGGAAAATTTGCATGAACCCAATTTGATTGGCTGTCAGTTGAAAAACCACAATGGGATTCAGCAGAGCATGGAATCTCTGCTTTCACAGAGAGGGATCTAATCGATTTAACTTCACCGTGATGTGATCACCGTGATGTGAGTTTTTCTCACTGCCAGAACTTAAAAGACCAATTTGAATGCAGGCACTTGAACCTGACAAACTGCTTCTGTTAAAACACACTCCACCGGTATTGAAATAGTAATGATCAAACACAGAGACATTTTTCTTTATATAAAATAATTCTATCTATAGAGGCGTTCACATCACACTGGACCTTTGGGGGCGGTCATCGCGGCCGCTGCCGTAGACCCGTGTCTACACAGACAATCGCCTTTCCTGCCTTTCATGGTTGAAGCCTCAACCCAGTTAGAATAATAAACGTGCAAAGGAAACGTCTCCCTCTTTTCAACACGCTGTGTTCACACAGACGTGAACTTCTGACGCTGCCGTCCACTCTTAATCCACCCCAAACGATGGGACTATTTGATGGGTTTTACCGAAGCCTGGTCGACGGTGGATTGATTCACAGAATCCAAGTGGATAAATCTGAGATCTTCTGTTAATATTTCATCATAGATTCTGGATTAAATATAGATTAAAACTTAACGATGACTCAGACTCACTCCATCAAAGTAACAGCCCACCCACTCCTCAGACATGGGGGCAGACTGACTCTGTGGCCCACACTCAGCCTCCAACCTCAGGTAGACTGTACCGCATCAACTATTTTGAGTTCCTGGAGCAGGGGTCTGCAATGTTTTTAAGTTCAAGGATCCCCCCCCTCCTCCCACGCCCCCAAACAGATGAAGAAATGGAGCAGAGATATAAAAAAAAAACCTTCTGCCTCCATTCATTCGTTTGAACATTTGAACGTACGTTTTAATTCATGTACATTTGGATGTGATGAGGTTCCGATGTGCCTGGAAATAGTCTGATTGAATTTCAATTGAATCCCGGAACACACGAGATGAGAGGCGGACGAGTCAGAGGACGAGGATTGAAGAAGTCTCTCTGAGTCCATTTGACCTCCAGATCATTGGAAGTTTCTCCTTTTCTCACTGGCAGAAAACATTACAGGATGGAAATCAGACATAATTTCTTTCTAACATTAGAGGATGGAAATCAGAAATAATTTCTTTCTTAAAATCAAACCATTCTGTAAAAAAAAAAACTAAAAAAACCCTCCGTGTTCTATGACTGATGGTTTTGAAGATTGTGTAAAGACACAGAGAGATGATCAAAGAGCTGAGATGCTACAGTGACAACCTGTTGCTGCTGTGGTGAGTCATGATATTGTCTTTGTATCAACAGAGAACAGATACATGACTTCAGGGCAAAGAGCAGAGAAATCAGACTGAACGCATCTGACACACACAGCTTCTCACCATGTGGTGTATAAAATATAGAAACGACAGTATTTTAGATTTAAAATACATACTGTATTTTAATGGGCCACGTGGTGGTAGGGTGGTTAGTGCTCTTGCCTTACAGAGATATGATCACAGGTTTGAACCCGGCGTGACGTTTGCGTGATCACTCCTTACAGAGATATGATCACAGGTTTGAATCCTGTGACGTTTGTGTGTTCACTTTGTTCTTACAGTCTACACACATACAAATTAATTCTAATTCTAATTAATTAATTCTAATTAATTAATTAATTCTAAGGTCTTCATTTCTACATAAAGGAGTGAACGGTTGTTTGTTTCTGCTTCACTGACAAACACCACCTTCCAAAACCAATACAATTTAATAGACTGTAATATTTAAATCTTCACTTCATTACTCCAGAAGTGCAAGATCCAAAAATTTTAAATTATTAAATATTCAAGCTTGCCTGTTCCATTTACAACATCTTACATCAGGGCACTCAATTCATGAGATGAGCTTGGGATGTGGGGGGGCTGTCACTGTTCCCACAACCATGTCAGTGCAGGGACACACACACAAAAAAATAATTTGTAAATATAAATACTGCATGATACAACACTACAGACAGAGAGTACACATATTTGTTTTTATATTTTTAAATGACCAATTAAAGCACTTAATGAATGACCCAATAAACAAGTTAAAACAAAAATTAAAAATCTTCAAAATGTTCAGATGTGGAGGCCGGAAGTGGCCCCCGGGCCAGGAGTTTGACAACCCTGTCTTTCTGCATCCTCCATGGATAAACTACTAAAGGTGGAGTCACCAGAGTCTGTACTCGAGGCGACTGTGTAACAACTCACAGTCCAGGGTGTAACCCCACCCCCCCAATCCAAACTACTGCTGTAGGTCAATAGGGAAAACTATAATTTTCCTGCATTGTTGTAGTGAATAAACGGTGTATAGACTTGTGAACCCTAGATCTGCACAGATCTAATCTAAAAACACACACTCTAATCTAGATTCTTCATTTTGTGTTATAAAAACACAGCTCTCATTTATTTTATCTCTCCTGATTTAAAACCACATCTCATCACCGCCCACGACCACTGGTTTAAGCCTAACCAACCAACACTAGTCCGACTCTCACTGCACTACCAGGTGAGGAAATGTGTGTGAACAAGGGAAGTGTGTGTGATGAGCTTCACTCCAGGAATGAAGTCAACGTTTGAGTCAAACACGATTTCTGCTGAATTGGACTTTAAACTGTTGGTTAATGTTTTTTTGTTTAACATCAAATGAATTAATTCTCGTTCTATTTTGACTAAAGATGTGGAATAAGATAAACGTTGTGAAACTCCCGTGTGAATCCAATCGCGGCCACGAGGCGTTCAATTCTACAACACGTCTCATTTGTTCCGTTCAATTTTTGCTATGGATCCATCTCCAGTATGTGCTCTGTTTCTGTTTCCCTCCGGAGACACCGGAGGAGCATGTGTGTGTATGTGTATGTGTGTGTGTGTGTGTCAGCACTCACCTACGATCAGCCACAGAAGCGTCTGCCTGTACAGAGATGCTCCGAGCTGAGATCCCATTCCGTCCAAAAATGATCCCCGGACCGAAGTTTGTGATGGAGGTGAAGAGGAGAGCAAACTTACTGCAGCTCAGAGTGGGAGAAGACACGGCATTGGTCCCTGCTGCTGCTGCTGCTGCTGTCCGGGCATTAGTCACTGTGCTGGAAACCTCTGCAGCCTCACACCTTGCGTAAAACACCAGTGTTGGGGGGCAGGACTGGCCCCTCCTCCTGCTCTATACCTAAGTTACCCCCAAACATGTTGAGCCGTCAAACCGGAGCGTGGAAACCTGCCCTGCGGCTAAATTTGGGGTTGTTGGTTTTTTGTTTTTTTTTTTGCGGTTGCTGAGGTGTTTGGAACTGACGTGGACCGTGTTGTGCGCAACGGGAGGCGCCGATCTGGGACCAGAGGAACCGCTGCCCGTACGGCAGTGAAAACATGGGAGGGAGGGAAGAAGGGAGGGAGGGGGAGAAAAGAGGGAGACACAGCATCAACACCCAGGGACAGAGATTAATATGTAGAATAGAATAGAAGTGAATGGACAATGGTTAAAGGTTTGGAATTGGAACGAAAAGTTGTTTCAAATAACGTCATCAAATACAAATAAATGTAATCGATATTGTTAAAGCATGAGAAAAATATAAAAAATACAAGTACAATAAAACAATACAGACCAAACGACACATTATAACTACGTATTACGTCCCACCCCTTTGATGGCTCATAAACGTATAACGCACGTCACGTGACCTCATATCGTTCCGATATATTTACATACACACATTATCCTCCCTTACTCTTATTACCATAAAACCCATTATAAGAAACACAAGATTCAACATGTTATTGTCATTTGTTACACAAACCGACGTTAAAACTAATTAAAATTCTCGCTGCTCGTTATTAACAACTTGGCAACAAACCAACGGAAGAAGTACAATACGATAATTGAATTATAAAAGTGATTACGTACAATACGATAATTGAATTATAAAAAGTGATTACAAAGGTTGTAAAGTTGCCCCGAAAAAAAGTTAGAAGTAATTATAGTGAATAATAGTTTCTGACTGAAACTAGTTGTGCTGATGTAGCAGTGTTTGTATTTGCAGAAACACAGCAGGATGAAAATGAAAAATAGTGACAGTGTAGCGCGATGTACTGTTTAAAACGGCTATATTTCCAACATTTTTAAATTCATTTTTCTTGGTTTAAATTTTGCTAAAATACACGAGGTGAGTGTAACATGTACCGTTTTCCGTTCAGCTCTACAGCCGGTGGTTGGTTGCAAATACATGACATGTTTAAACTACGTTAAAGGTCGGAAGTACTTCCCGGAAATGACTTTAGGCTGAAGCCCAATTACCTGTTAGTCATTTACAGTTCATTAAACTGTAAAGGTTGAGTCTGAAAAATAAACAGTCGCCGCTGAACACTGTGGTAATAAAGACAGATGAGGCGTGAACACCAGGGGCAAGTTCACGATCTGGTTCCAGGGTTTGACGACATTTCGTTGTGCGACACCGACATCTAGCGGTGGCTGTGAGCCTCTACACTGTATACTTTACACTTCATGTTCAGAACACTCGGTGGAAGAGTGTACCTTGCATTCGCCCACGGCTGCTGGGATTGGCTTCAGTTCCCATCGACCCTTATCATGGTTGAGCACCATCGCCACCAGGTCTTTTACTCGGGATGCCCGGATGTGGTTGGTGGAGCCTTGGGGTGTTACAAGCCCGTCACCTGGCTGCGTCAGATCCTCTGAATAAATACAGAAAAACACACAAATAAAGTATTTTCTTGGCTTTGTCCTTATTTCATTTCAATTTAAAATACACATCTTTTTCTTTCCCCATTGCAGTACCAGTCCAGACCACTTGAAGTCATAGACAGAAATGCTATAAGGCTAAGGAAAATACACAATCCAATATCATGTTCCATGGCTCATATATATATATAATAAATATATATATATTTTTAATTATATAATCAGACAGAAACATCCCATTGCAGTACCACTACAGACCACTTGGGAATGAGGAAATACTGAATATGACTCTCATTTGTTGGTTGTATATTGCAGTAAATGTTGTTGCAAAAACATTTTTAAACTTTAATCACTAACAGCAACCTCTGTGTTGAGCTGCCACTTCAGGGAAACAGAAAAAAACACAACTGAATAATAAACAAAGAATAAAAGAGCATATGAAAAATGAATCCTTTAAGTGGAAAACTCAGTTTGACGGCAGACATAAAACAAGAGCAATCCTCTGGCTCTGAACAAAGTGAGTCGTTGGGGTAATGATGCAGTAAAGATGGATACAGCAAAGCAAGTAAAGCGACATTGTTTGGTTTTGCAGTGTCAATTTGACTGATGGGTCTGAGTCGCGAAAAAAACCCAAAACAAACTGTTTACGGTCCCAAGAAGTGAAAGTGAAAAAACACGACATGGTCTGGAGTACGATTCCCCTCCTTCATTCTCTAAAGACACAGCAAAAGAAACATCAAGACACTCAAATTTGAAGTGTAAAGGTGTGATGTCCAAGATTTAGCGACACCTAGTGGTGAAGTTACATACTGCGGTTAAATAAAACAAAAAAATATTTAATTTAATTTAAAAAAATGACATATAGAGTACTAAAAAAAATTAAAATTGCTTTGCAGGAAGTGACCTGCAAATGTGATGCACAGACGGTGAAACATTCGTGGATTATTTTTAAACACTGCTTGTATAAAAATGGCATTAAATAAATTCCCTACGGCAAGAAGAACAATTCAGCCCTGCAGTCTTCCTCCACAGATTGAAAGGCACTGATAAAGCAGCTTTTCTTTGTCTTAGCATGTCAGACAGGCATTTAAATCACCTGCCTGTCTGACCCTCACCATGGCAACCAAGTGTAAACGTACAGCAGGAGGTGTGCAGCCAAAGAGAAAAGAGGGGAGGACAGGGTGGAGGACAGGGTGAAGTGGAGAGTCTGTGGAGGGTTTGCGTGTCTTCAGAGGTTCGGCTGAGACACATGGACGGACTCGCTGATCAAGTGGAGTAGAGAAGTGGAGGAGACAGAGGGGAGAGGACAAATTCGAATGGTAAGGACGGACTTGTTCACTGCGGTTATTATGCATTTATTACCGATTGTTGGCACCACCTTGGAAGTTGGAAAAGTTTCAGAGATTTTGTCTAAAATATCAACATGTTTTAGCAAAAAAACAACAAAAAAACAAATCCAAGTGAAACTCTAGTACAGATCAAATGTTGAGATTTTTAACATGTTTCTGTTTCCCCTGACTGTTGCTTTGTTGTTGCTGTCAAACATTACACCGATCAGTGTTTAGCACCACTGCACGCACACACACACACACACACACACACACAGACGCTGGATTGACTGGTGGATTAACGATCTATTAACTAAATATATTAACTTCAGATAGCAAGAAGAACGAATCATGAGTGTATATTTATTGTTAAGTATTGACCTTTGACCCCTCAATGTAAACACTACATATCAACAACAAAACATGACTATTTATTGTTAAGTATTGACCTTTGACTCCTCGATGTAAACACTGGATAACATAAAACATAGTATAATATTGTTTTGCACTGCACTGGGAATTCTAATGTATTTAAATATTAAAGCATAATATTGTATTGTAAAACAGTGACATTTGTTATGGCATTACACAGCCTAGCATAGCATTATGTTGTATACAATGGTAGTATTGTATAGCAATGCTACTAGTATAGCATTGTATAGTACAGTGAATTGTAGTATAGTTTAGCATTGTATCGGCTAGTGTAGCAAATCATGGTGTTTACTACAGCAGGTTTTATAATTTAGAATAAAAAAAATGAAAACGTGCTAAAATGAATAAAATGAAATAAAATGTGAAGCAGTTTTGTTTAGTTGAGCTCCCCTTAATGGCCTCTGGGTGGTGCTAAGTGTGCTTTTGAAAACTGTAAGTGTATTACATCACTATATTTGACCCCCCTTCCTCCCTGTGGGAGGTCTGTTACTAGTTACTAGGACTAACCTGCTGTTATTGAAGAATCTTACACAAGTGTTTTCTTTTTTTCTTCACCAGTGGAATGAAGAATTAAAAAATATCAAAAGTTGTTCATCTTTAGATTTTAGTTTGCTGTTTTGCGTCAGTCATGGTGTGTGTGTGTGTGTTTTGTATCATGGCATGTGAGCCACACACACACACACACATCACTCCTGTCTCTGCAGGGAGCAGCAGATCAACAGAGAGTTGCAGCACAACAATAACAACACGGCAATGATCACACAAACACACAGACGACTGCCGGCCCGGAGCTGAACCACAGATCACTGCAGCGCTCCGTGGATCTTCACGGTCTTCCCTTCTTCTCTCTCTCTCTGATCTTCACTTGGTCTGAGTTGGTCCGACAGGCCGAGATAGGGTGTGTTTGGGATTCCACCTGAGGTTCAGGCAGATGGAGAGGCATCGAAGTTCAGAGACGACATGGGCGGACATTGAAGTGACGTCAGAAGGAGATTGGTTGGAGAAACGCAGTCCGGAGAAGCTGGAAGTCCCTGAGGACGAGGAGGACGAGGAGCGAAGACTTCCTTCTCTGATCACTGCATGTCGTGAAGCCAAGGTCGAGGTAATACTTGCACATGTGTCTGTCTTTAAACCGTATTTCTCTATATTTCACTACATTACACAATACATTGTTTTATTTAATTATACTAAAAGGATTAGACATTTATTCCTCATAGTTAATGTCAGGCAACGCATCACCATGTCTACGTGAAGAGCTCACAGAACACAAAGCCTCTGTGTGTGTGTGTGTGTGTGTGTTGATTTGGGATCGTTTGAAATAATGGTTCGGCTTTTGTGATCAAAGTATAATATTACTCCAGTGTCAACGCCCCGTTGTTAATATTACACCTGCAGGTGAGGCAGTCACAGAGGTGAGGTGAGGCAGGTGGGGAAGAGGATTTGAACCGTTGTATTTTTCCATTGCATAACAATCGTGCATGTTCGGTCCATGTGACCTGAGCAGTCTTTGAAGACTCCAGAGACAGCCGGCTCCAAAACAAGCACGACTTACTGGAAACAGGGAACGTCACGCCTCCACGTGACATTATGTCAGCCACCAGCAAAATAATTTTAAAAATAAATACCTTGCTGTTTCCAAAGATGGTGCAGCAGCTGTTGACCTCCGGGGCTGATGTGACCTTGTGCGACTCCAACCAGGAGACGGCGCTGCACGTTAGCCCACCTGAGCTCCAGAGAAAGATGTTGGAGTGGATGCGGAGGCCTGATCTGCCTCCTCAGACTCAGCTGCTGCAGGCAGCCTGGCAGGGAGACATTCACACCTTACAGCAGCTGCTGGTACGATTCTGATTTATCCGATTTAGTAGCTTTTTGAACAGTCGGAAACCATTCCATATGTTAACTTTAAATGCAAAAACAATCATCTCAACAAAACTTTTTCTGAAGTTAATATCTCAATATTTCCTCCCCTGATCCCGTATCAATCTCCTCTGTCAACAGTTATTGATTTTTTCTCACCAACTCCCAGTCCAATATTCCTGGTGTTGGTTCATTTTCTTTTTCTTTTCTGTCTTCTCTAGTGATTCCAAATGTAGATCCCTCTGTTCCAATGTATACTTATCATCCAATTAAATGTTGACATTTGTCCTGTAATGCTCACCTGTGTCCACACTCCAGACGGGGGCAGACAGTTTGGATGTGAATGCTCCAAACGGTGACGGCGTGACTGCGTTGATGCTTTCGGTCCGGGACATCGACCTGTTTGAGGACATGGTCACATGGCTGCCGTGGGACCACAGACCTGTGGAGGTGGTCAAGGCTCTGCTGGGAGTGGAGGCGTAAGAACGACGTTCATCACTACTGTGTCTGCACTGACCTGTGAAATAAAAGAAGATAAAGAGTCATAAACAACATATATACGACTCTTAAAACGAGTCCAAATGAAAGGACTTGATGTTTTTAGATAGTTGCTAAAACATTGGCTATTTTTTTAGATTTTTAATGGTAACTTTGTTAGCTCAATCAACATTTACAAATGTATGGCATGTAAAGTGATGAAAACAAATTACTAACTACTAATAACTTCATTTGTACTTCCTACACAGCGACGTGCACCACCCAGCCCGCAGCGTCTGCTCGGCCCTCCATCATGCTGACAGCATCAACAGCCCAGTGAAGGAAGAGATCATGCATATGATGATTGAAGTTCTACATCACAGAGGTACAACAACAACAACAACATGTGATTGGCTCATGCCTCTTAGACACTATAATACCACTACAGTAATACTATTAACAAATATTTGTGTAGGACACGAGGGTTTACAGATTTTCTTTGCTCAACATTCTCTCTCCACAAACAAGTCTGAAAATCTGTACGTGTGCAAGGGAATGTCAGAAAAAAAGCAGAGTGAGGAAAAGAACAAAATGGATAATAAATATATGGCTTGCAGTTCATATGGTGACCACAAACAGTTAAACGTGTCAGTCTAAATATTTTTACACCTTTCAGATGCTGCGTCGTCGTCGTCGTCGTCACCTGTTGACAAATACTCACCCCACGGCCCAGACTCAGACTTCGAGGACTGCGACACAGAGGTGGACTGTGGCAGCCCTTCTCCTCCCCCTTCCACAGCTGCCTCCCCCACACTGATGCACCATCTCCAACCAGGCCTCCTCCTGTACCACGACCCTGAGGTCAGTGGTGAACATTGAAGTTCTTCTTTTGGATTTGGCATTTCTGAAGTTAATTAGCACACACACAACAAGAGACACACAAATCCTCTACAGTGTTTATACAACACCTGGATTTAGACCCCTGTGTGTGTGTGAGTGTGTGTGTGTTTGAATAAACAGAGTCAATGTTAAACAATCAACGAACACGTGTGCAGAGTGGAAGTGAGTGGCCAGTCAGGAGATGATGGGGGGT